TTGATATGGCAATCTGTTCTCCGCTTGCATTGTCACTGGCACTCGCACGGCGAGGATCAGCTTCAGCAGAGGCACTGCTCTGGTCTGGGAAGCCCTGTGCCGGCTCCTGACCCGGCTGCTGGCCTCGTGCTGCCCCCAGCAGCTAACGGGATTCCTTCTTACGTCTGTTTTTCTGCTGGAAAGCAATGGTGGTTTTGTTTTGTTTTTTTTAATTAGCACCTATTATGAAAATGTTGTATGAAAAATATGCAAGTCTTTGGTTTATATTGCTAGTGATTTGGCAGGGGCAATTCACAACTGCTTTTGAATCATCTTTCATCTGGCTTTTGCTAGAACTAAGGGTTTGCAAATACCAATATAATTCTGTTGAACTGGTACAGGAGTTTGATTTCATCTGATGTCTCGTGTAAATGTTTCCCTCTATGCTTCTTTTTGTCCACTGCCTTACTGTCCTACTCGTTCCTTTTCCAGCAAGGTGTGTGGTTGCAACCTATCTACTTAAAAAAAAAAAAAAAAAAAAAGCGGAGGTTTTACTTCTGGTTTACCTGTTGTGACCCTAATTTTTTATGTTCTTCCCCTGTTAGACCTATTACTAATGACAATATGTAGTTGTGGTCTAGTGCTAACAGATTTAGTTAAAATATTTAGAGTTCAGTCAGTGTGTGCTCTACAGTTGATCAGACTTAGCGTGGGTCCAGTCCAAAAATCGTTAAAGTCATCTTTGAGAAAGTTCATGTCAAATTTTCTTAACTGCTCCCAGGCCTCTTCCTCACACTGACAAGGACATTTACAGTCTCCTGTTTTTTTGCTTTAAATGGAGTTTTATAGACAAATGAATGAGAGGTTCCTGTCCAGAAGAATTTACAATAAAATATAATTAAATCCCTTGCTATTCTGCACCACAAATAATCGTAAATAATAACAACTCTTGACACATGTAGGGATACTTTATCTTCAAAGTACTTTGGAAATCTAAATGATCATTGTCTGTCTAAATAAAATATTTCCTGCTTAAATTGTCAGCCTTTAAGGTACCCTCAGACTCCGCGATCAGCCAGCATTGCCTAGGCTGATTTTTCTGCTGAACGTGAGGGGGTTGTTGCCTTCACATGTCCCCTTTCCTGCTCGCACAGAGTTATACCTTGTCCTTTGCATGGAGGAGGCAGAGCTGTCGTAGAGCTTGGCCTGGGAAGTTTCTGTATCTCTGCTGAAGTCAGCCATGTCAAATGTAGTCATTTAGTGGAATAATAGCTAAAAGCCACTGGCAGAAAAGCAGCATCCGCTTGCCAAATCAGCACTGCTTTAGGATGCCTGTAGCATCTGCAGGGTTGTTGTACAAGAGGTAGGAATAACTCCATTGATGGCCAGAAATTGAATTTATTCAAAAACAGGTCTTCAGTGCTTTCTTTTGGTGGTGTTTACACAGAAGTGAAGTAGTAGAAAATTTTGTGTTTACTAGAATTATACTTTGAATTCCCATTCTCTGGCCCTCAGAATGCATATAAGGGTGAAAAATAAATGCATTTTGTTTCTATTTAGTTGGATCAGAATCTGAATAGGAACTCTTCTACAGTCGTGAACTTCTGTTAGAGCATAACATTGCTTCCCGTAGTCAGTGCCTGTCGTCTTGTGGTGTGTCAGTACCCAACCTGTGGCTGGTAGGCAGCGTTCTCTGTTTTTTGAATTTCAGTGGTAAAAAACATGTTTCCAGCGTGTTACTTGTTCAGTTGTTTCTTGTGGGACACCCGAGTTCAAACGCTGGTGCCATGAGCGAATAGTCTGTCTTGTTTCCCTTTGAAGATCCAGTTCTTTTTTGCTCACTGCATCCGTAGTACGGCACGTCTGGTACAACATTTGTCAGCCCCCTTGGAAGCGGAGCACACCTGGGACATCCCCGTTCAGGTCAGCTTGGGAGCTGGAAGCAGCTCCGTTTGCACAGGGCTGGGGATGGAGCAGGAGGACGAGCCGGCGGCTCGGGGAAGGCAGCGGGGAGAGACAGGAGAGCCAGCGTCCTGCCTCCCGCTGAGGGAACTGAGCTGCTGTTAACTGGAACCCGGTGACTCCATCGCTGCCTCCCTCTGAATTTAGGTAGAGAAACACTCGCCTAGTCCCCTGTCCCATCTGCCATGCTGCAGTTCATGTAACGCCTCCAAGGGAGTTAAAGCTCCTTAATTCTTCTGCCTTTCCTGGGGATTATCGGTGAAGTCCCTGCTAAAGTGTTTTGCTGTTAATGACTCAAAATAGGAATATGCAGACTGTCATATGCCTCTGACCTTGCAAAGTTTCAGGCTCCAGGGACACCGTATGGCATTGAGCCCCAGAGTTTAATTATGAGAAGTAGCATTTATGTACTGATCTGAGATTTTGACATGTTTCTAACTTCATTGAATCGCCTCCTGTTCTTGTAAAAACAAAATCTCTGATCAAATTGCTGTAACCACTGATTGATTTGTACTGGTATCACTTCATTATTTTGTGATGTAAAACAAACAACACCCAAAACCCCTCTTTTATCTTTCTCTCTTTCATCTTACTCTTTCTCAATCACTTTTTTATTAGAATTATTACAGCCTCTCTATGATCCTTGTTCCACCTTACTACAAATTCTCTGTTTGGGACTGGCTGGTACCTCAGCCTCCTAGAAGAGGCAGTGGTTGTTGCTTTTATATACCACCATTGTGTTTTTAATTATTTCTTCCATTCTGTTCCTTCTGTGTGTTAGCATTGGGTTTCCTTTTATTAACTGCAGTTTTGCACTGAATTAAGGGTCGTCTTCAGGGATATCTTTTGAGGCACACTATCAATCCTTTCCTGAGCGCCAGTCTTGCAAGTAGTATTGTTAGCCTAAGTGAAGGTAAAAATATTGAAAGCATGAAGAGATGTATTGACAAGAGAGTGTAGCATATTGTATCAGGGGACGAGAGAAGGAGTTTGGGTAAATTTTTCTGCATTTCTTTCCAGAAGAAACTGGAAATCAGTTTGAAAGTCTAATGTTGTTGATAGAAGAGTTGACAAATTCAGGTCTCCTTAAAATGAAAATTAATCTGAAAAGTCACAAGTCTGGGAATTTGTCATTATACATTTGTCAAATACACAAGTCCTGTATTTGTCATATTTGAAAACTTTAGGACATTTTTTTTTTTCTTTTGTACAACTACAGGATCTGGAAATGTCTTTGAAAGCTGAAACGACCGGGCTTTTTACAGTAACAGCTGAGACCATGAGGGAACTACAGTAGAGTAGCCAGCATTGATACAGCTGAAGTTCAGGATTTTTTTGTGTGTTAATTTTGAGTGTAAATCAAACCTCTCAAGTGTTAGCTCATTTATAGCTAGCTTTCATATGCTGTACGTATTGATACATCTCTTATTTACAAGGAGAACTTAATTTATGCCGTAGTGCTTTTTCCCATCCTGGCCATTACCACCAGCTGCTGCTTTTGTTTCTCTGTTGAAGTGATTTAAAGTTGAAGTGTTAAAAATAGTGGTCAGTGGAGATGCATGTGTGGTTCCCATCAAACCCAAAGCGTCCCCCCAATATGTAGGGCTGGACCACCCTCCCCAAGAGGCCTGCAGCACTCTCGGGGGCCTCTAAATCCGAGCCTCCCAGGACAGAGGTGAAATCCTCTTGTTGGTGGAGAAGTTGGTGCAGCTGGGGCTGTTGTCAGTGTTTCATACATCCCCGTATCATGGTGGGGGTGCAGGGATGCTACAGGCTCTTGCTTGCCTGCTAGTTCATCCCAGCGTGCTACACTGGGAGAAGTGAATAGGCTGGAGCAAAGGGGAGATGTTATTTAAAACAAAAACAAAAAAACAAACAAACCCACAAAAAACCCCACAAAACAAAACAGGCACAGAAGGTGAGGAAGAGGAGAGCCCACAGTGTGTCTCAGTGCTTCTGTTGGAGGGTGTCTCAGTTCACAGCTGAGCTTTCTTGCTTTGGTTTTCTAAGTATCTTCCAACTGCTTGTAAGGACTTCAGGAAACGGCTGATCTGCATATTGTTAATATTCCTTGTGATAAACCTTTCTGTATATTCTTAATGTTCCTTGTGACAAACCTTATTGAAATAGTTTTATGTAGTCTAGCTTTTGTTTCTATGCATTTTTCTGTGGAGCATTTATAGGCTGTGAAAGGTGCCTACCAAGGCTTCAGTAATAAAATACTTGACTCTCTAACATCTCAAATTGCTGAAGGCTGTTGGTCTCAGTGCAGTTGGTTTTTAACATGGGCCAGCAGAGAAAGATTAACGTTTTCCTTGGTCAGGTATAAACCATCATGCTTCGATGTGTTGATGTGTTCAGAGAACTGTCTTTATTGTAAACAGGGGGAAGATTAGGCTTAAGTGTGAAATATAAAGATACACAAATAAAGGTCTTTGAGGTATTCAGGGGAAAGTTATTCACTTAAATGATTTGGAGTTTCTCTTCCTAGTAAAATAGAGAGCAAAACCATCCTACAGGTGGTACTGTGTGTCTGTGGTGGTACTAATATTTTTGTGAATATGGTCAGATTCGGTGCATACAAGTTGATGCCTGGGCAGGAGAGGAAGGGGCTTTGGTTTCCCCTCCTCCCTGCTGTGACCTGATCAGCAAGTTGTGTTCAACATTTCTGTATTGACGAACTTGAAAGCTTTGCTCAGCCTCACAAGTTCAGGGTCTCAGGGTTGCTCCAGCTCATACATTAATGAAAAATCTCCCTAAAGATGAGTGTGAGGAGCTAGTGTGAATTTTCCAATATTTGAGAACAGGATGGCACTCTGACGTGTGAGTCCGTTCTTGATCTTACACGTGTATCAAGATGCAGAAATTCCCATTATTCTGTTTCTTATATTTGAAGAGTTGGATCAAAGCAGTAAAAAATAAATATTCATGGTCTCTGGTTTGGCTAACAGTTCATGTTATCTGTTGGCCTCTAAATGTCATATTGTGCAATAATATATTTTGAATATTTTAGCTTAATGTTTCACTTTTGACTGTGTCATTTTCTTCTCTAATTTCAGTATTCCCAGGAGAAATCATGGATGAAAAGCTGTCTTACAAAGAATTTCTCGATCGCAATGACTCCTGGACGATGGATGACAGAGACCTGTGCTTTGAGTCACAGCCCGTGTTCAAACCCATGGAGATGGCTGGTATGACTGTATTACTCTTAAAACTGTAGCATCAGTTATTTTATCAGTTGTGTAACATGATAGCGCCCTAGCCTCTATCCCTAAGGGTTCTCTTGCCTTGTACTCACGCCTATGTTCTTTAGGATGTGTTGCTCTGTCTTCCTAAAATGTGTAACATCTCGACACCAGAGTTAACTTAGCACATCAAGCCCCTAACTGGCCCTAGAGCACAGTCTAGCTGGTTAAAAACAGAGTTGCTAGTCCAGCGTGTTAGAGCACACAGAGTGTGGGTGAGCAGATTTCCCCCTGACTTGGCTTGCATGGCGATAGCAGTTTTTGGTTGACTCCCACAGTTTAACTGCTCTCAGGTACTGCGGCTTTCACTGCAAACCTCGCCAAAATTGTTGACAGCTGAAAGCCAGTCTTCCCTGGCTCTCGGAAGTGCCAGTTCCAGCAGTCACGTAGCTGTGTCTGCAGTGCAGGTCAGTCTGTTCCAGAGGCAGCCTGCATAGCTGCTGACTCTCTTGAAAATTAGATGAACCTTGTGTAACTTGCCCCTGCAAAAAGATACCCTTTCACCCAACAACTTTCACCCAATTTTCTCTCATTTTTGAGAAAGCTTACGGGAAATTACTTGCTCTTGGAGGGTATGAGAAATGTGTGTGCTGCCCAGATTATAATAAGGCAATAAACCTGTGAAAGATACTGGCTGAAACGGGATGAAACTTTTTTAATATATTTTGAGCACTGTAGATCTGCTTACTAAATTATTTTCTTACTATCTGAATCTCATATTTACTAAGAGATTCGGTGAAGAAAGTATATATTGTTACAAGGGTAAGAAATGATTCATGGAACAACTGGAACAAAAGAGCCACTGATTTCTAAAACACAGTTGTTGGGTTTTTCCCTCCCATTGCTTTGTTAGATGAAATGGGATGTTGATGTAGTTATGCTCAATAGCCAGGTGACAAACTTGTTGATTAGGAGCAATTTACACACCTAGCCCATCACCCAGTGTGCTTCTGGCCTGAATATTGTGAATCTGTGGGTTATCTATTGCATGAAACCACATTTCCTTAGGTTTCATGTCCTTAGAGTGTCTTGCACACCTGTACATGCATAAGGTACCACGTATACTTCAGTATGAAAGTGTTCCTCCATACTGCTCTTCCTGGTACTGTGTAAACAAGAGATTCTGCTTAGAGGTTGGTCGATTCCCATAAGTGAGCAGAGGCATGAGAGAGGATAGACAAGCTTTAAGGACTTGTCAGCAGAAGGAGAAAAATGTGAACAGCAGACTCATAAAAGTCTATGGGTTTATTAAATATTTGTATGCATACTCTTTGGAAAACAGTAGGATGATTTCCCTCCCAACAAGAGAATTCTGTGGTCAGTGCTGTAACAGGTCTCCTGGCAGCATTGCTGTAATTCCTCATTCCTTGGTGAGAAACATGGGACATGCGAGCTCTGCCACTTCTGTGAGCAGCTGAAAGAGTGCGTTTGAGAACGCTCTGGACTCTGCTGTTACATATTACAAACACTGTGTTGGGATCTGGCAGTGGGACCCAACCCTATGAAAGTAACAGTTATGAGCAAAAACGTACCTATATATTTTACACACTACCTGTAATAAAAAGACTTTAAAAAAAAATGTTGTTGTAATGTAGAATAAATAAAACTCAAACACTATCTAAGTGCTTGCAAGCTTTGAAGTGCTGCAAGGCCTTTAATCACAAGTGTATCATGATTTATTACTGTAACTACAGCCAAATATCTAAACATGAAGAGTTCCTATTTAAATGATCTACAGTAATATGCTTTTATTAGTCCACAGTCATTGGCAAATTGGAACTGTGTCTCTGAACAGCGAAGGATATGAGTCTCTATGGAAGTGAGCTGAAAAGAAAAAGAAACTTTCGTAAATGTTTTGTCGATCTTGCCTCCAGCTGTCTAGAAACAGTACTCTCAGGTTCTTAACATTTGTCTGGCTTCATAATATTCTAAACCAGCTGCAAATTTTGAGCAAGTAGAGAATTATTTTCGGGGCTTATTTAATGCAAGAACTGATAATTTCCTGAACTGGCCGTATCCCATCCATACAGTTCATCCTTACCGACCTGCCTTTCAATTTGCAGCTGCAATGTGTTTTGCTGGAAGCGTCACCTTGTCATCAGTGGAGCAACACCGCTTACCAGTCACAAAAATGCTAACACTTGAGTAGGGCACAGGCCCACTTTGAGTCTGTGGAGGATCTTTGGAGATGGGAATCAAAAGTTCAGCCATAACTCCTCCTATTTCTCCCCTTTCTCCCTCTGGAGCAGAGTCAGGGTTTAATCTGGGTCGCACATTTTTGCGACGTCGTCTAACTGCTGGACAAAGAGGGGAGGTCATCAGCATCTCTTTTGGTTTTTAAATTGGTGTCAGTCATGATGGGTTTTTGTGGGGTTTTTGTTCGTTTGTTTTGGTTTTTTTTTTTAAATTGGAAAAAAGGCAGTTATTTATTCTTGGCAATACTGTTTTAAACAGCTTGAAATTAAAATTTTCTACAATTTAATCTGAAGCAAGACATTGTCTTGGCATCACAAATAGTCTGATAGATTTATAAAAGAATTCATGGAGCTCCCCTGATCTTGACGTCTTGGAGCACCATGGGTGTGTGAACATTTGAAGTTTGGCTGTCGTCCCTGCAGATAGCATGCCTGACATAAAAATGAGTAACAGCCTTCAACTGAATCCCTTTTAACTGTGCTTAACCAGAAGAAATCTGTGCAGTATCTGAAAATCGGTGACAGCCATTTTGGGAACAGAGAGTTCTTCAGCTCCTGGGTAATGCAACGTGTGAGATAGTCATGAGAAATGTCACTCTTCTGCAAGAAGCCACTTGAGTCGAAACCTCTCATGGCTTGGCTGTGCCTGTCTGGGGAGAAATGCAATGTACAGCTGGCACAAGCCAGCAAGATGTGTTAGGAGTGATTGATCGTAAAACACATCCAGGTGTTTGTAAACTGTGGAATAATTTGTTTGAGGGGAATGCCACATTTCCTTCCCCTTGCAGTGTCTTGCCCTTGACTGTGTTATGGTACAGTGACTAACTTGTGGAAGGGTCATCTTTTCTTCGTTTTGTTCTGTCAGTGAGGTTATCTGTCTGCTCTCTGACTCATGGCATTTCAGTTAAGTAATCCATCTTATAAAACCCAGCATGGTGGTTCTCTCTTCCCATCTGGGTTTGAATGCCCATGCCTATTACTTGAGGGGAAAGAAGATGTGTACACACAAAAAATAAAACTTGCAGAAAAGGCATTTTCTCTTGCTGAATCCTCAGCTGCTAAAGTACCATCTTTTGCAGATGACATTGATATATCCACTTAAAACGCAGACCAAAACCAGAACAAAGCTAACACATGTTAAATCAACCAAAGCTGACACCAGACAACTTGGAAATGTGGACTGAAGATCCTGACAGCCTCACCAGTGCGTCTGGTCTGGAACTTACGGCAAAGGCTGCTCGTCTGCCTGCCTGGGACGCTGGGAAATGTGTTGTTTTCCTCTCTGGCTTGTAACTTGGTTAAAATACTGGCCTGTCAGTCAGTTTATACTGGTGTGCTGTTCTTGGGGAGGAGAGCATGTAGCTTACACAGGCTTTCCTTCGTCTGCTGCTGAGTTAACAGATCCAGAGCTCAGCCATTGTTCCTGACTCAGGTTAGCTCTATGTGTCCATCAGGTCAGAAACAGATGCCTCCTCCTTCAGAGGAGGAGACGGGTTCTTCATGCAACAGTCATAATCTGAACTTCAGCCAGTTTTCCCTAGGAAGCAGTCCATGTTTTACTGTTGGGCATAAATTCTAATTACGAAGGTGTTTGCCTCTGGTAAATACTCTTGAAAGCAGCTTTCCCTCGGAAGTCCAGTGGTGGTGTCAGGTGCATCTTCATCTTGTTTCTTAAATAATCTTACTCTGCATCATGTCTTCCCCCTGTGTGGTGACACTGGCCTTGTTCTCGTCTCCTGCCAGACCCCTTCAGCATGCACAGAGGGGAGAATCTGCCTGATTTATCATTTCCTACTGACATGAAGAATGTGCCGCTGTTCACAGACCATGTTGATGCTTCCAGAGACATCCATGGTGAGTTCCTCCTCAGCATTTGTCCCTGATGGTCAGGTTTTGGTGTTTTCTCTATTGACTTTCTTGTACTGAAAACTATTATGCTGATAAGTGCACAGACTATATAATCTCTTCACATGATTTTTTAAAATTTTTTTGACTAAAGCTATTCCAGTAGCTACTTCCAGAAAGGTTTTTTTTGGAGTATATTTAGGCAGAAGGAGATAGGACATCTAGACAAGTTGAGTTGAAGCAGGAGTTACCAGTGGCTCTTGTCTTCATGGCTAGAAACCAAATACATGTGAACTTTTTCCACAAAGTGGTCTTCAGTGTTTGGACTATTGGAGTTTAAGCAGTTATTAACAAGAATTCACGGGAGCAGAAGCAGAAAGCAAAAGGGAAATAATATGCCTGTGTTTACTGTCTTACACCTTGCTAAAAAATTATATATCATACATAATTTACAATGCAGTTCGTAAAGGTGAGCTAATTGAGAGAGTTGTTTTACGAACTTTATCTAAACTGCTTGCAAGCAGAACAGAATAGTTTATTTTCCAAGTGTTGCATAGACTTTAAATTTTGGAGGGGAGTCATTAGGGTTAGCATAGTGATTAACAAATGGTCTTTCTGTTTCATTAGCACCACATGGACCTATGATGGTACCTGAACAACCTTTCTTGGGGCCCCTGTATTCTCCTGCAGAGGCTCTAGACCCCTCAGCCTTCATTGGCCTGGATTCAACTACAGAATTTCTGCAAGACAAAGCAGGTAAGACACAGATGTTTGTCTTGCTAGCTAGGTTTGAAGGATATGCAGCTGGAAGATTTTGTGTATTAGTCCTAAAGAATCTTGGTGGGGGAGTTGATAAGTAAAATGAGTCAAGATTAGAAAGTATCCTATTGGCAATGACAGCTCTTGGTTCAGTGTGAATGCTCTGAAGATGTTAGGAGATCACAGAATCACAGAATGGTTGAGGTTGGAAGGGACCTCTGGAGGTCATCTTGTCCAACCCCCCTGCTCAAGCTGGGCCACCTAGAGCCAGTTGCCCAGAAGAATTGAGCAAAGAACCTGCTCTGTCAGGTCCTGGAGTCAGTGCTGGTTATGACTCTTCTCTGATGCAAGCTTTCACTAACAATAATCACAGAAGAACTTGATGTTCTGGTACCATTCTTAAAGGGAACTGAAAAGTTACCTGAGAATGAAATCATAAAACAGCAGGGTCAATACCTTCAACAGAAAAAATAAAGCAGCCTTAGTGTTAGTGGTAGGACTAAATGTGTTTATTTTCCGTAGCGCCTGAAGAACATTGGATGGGAGCTCAGCATGATGTGAAGGGACCAGATGCCTCTTTCTTTGTTGAGCCACCAGGTAAAAATAGTTTTGACTTGAACCATCTATAGAGAGTTTCTGAACAGCAGAAGCAGAGCTTCTCTCCTTGTCTACCTTTTCAAGAAACGCAAGGCTGTAATGGAGTGAAGTGGGACCTGACCAAACCAGTTTCTGGTTCTCAAATCAATTTAGAATAGAAATGCGTGTTTCAGAGAGATGTTACTTAACACACATTTTCTGGTTTAGTGCTCTAAGGGGTGGGGAGAACCCTGCATTTTATAGACTGTTTACTTCTAAGTTAGGGTAACAAATTCCATATATGCAGTTCCAAGTCCAACTGTCAGTAGATACTAGTGGCATGCCCTTTTGGGGGCATATCATGTAGCAGGGCTTTAACCTCCTGAAAGCACGCCCTTTCATAGGTTTTGGGGAATTAAGTTAGTAGGTGTAGATGTGTGCAAAAAAATATGTTCAGCGGCAAGCTCTGTGGATTCCAGACTGTGTCTCCATTCTGAGAGTCTCCATCACAGTGAAGGTACTGTAAATTCTAGCTGGGATCTGTGTTCAAGCATTACTTGACACTAAAATAATAAATGGGATGAATAAAATTTACCCTTGAGAAGAAACTCTAAAACTGGAACTCTACTACTGTCAAGGATTCTAGTCTTTGTACGCACTGAGAGTCAAATCTGCTGACTTGATAGTAAGTCAGAGCACTTGTGTTTACTGCTTCTAAGGGTTGGTGCAGCTGAGGGCACCAACAAATATAATTTTGGCTCATGCATAATCAACAGAATTTTAAACTAAATTCTAATTGCAAACCTATGTACTCTGTCCAATTATCTTTAGATTGTGGTTACAGTTAAATCTTTGAAGTTCCATTGTGTAAATAATTCCATTGCGGTTGCATTTATATTATGATATTTGATGCATAATGGAATCTTTATTGCTGATTTTGGTGAACAAGCTAAGAGGGGAGTAGTTTAATACTGGTCCTAGGTAGAAAGTATTTCTGGAGCTGGTGGCTCTACCTAGGGCTCAGGGTAGAACTGGGCTGCTTTGTAACTGAACGTTGCTCAACTTGGTCACAGTAGTAGCTTCTCTCAAGATACAAGTGTTCTCCTAGGTATTGCACAAACTAATCTTCTGAAAATTGACAATAAAAACCGATTCTGTTTTTGTCTGACCCGACTGGGATGCTGAAGTGGGGGAGTTTACTCATGAGGGTTGCTGCTGCAGGCAGCACGGACCAGGCAGCACCTTGAGAGGGTGATTCACATCCTGACAACTCCAGAAGAGGAAGCTGTTTGCTAAGATCTGTGTGCTTAATCAAACTTTGTTTTGTATGTCCAGTGCCCCCCACAGTGACTGAAGCAATAAAGCCGAATTTGCCGGAAAGCCCCGCAGCAGTGGCTCCCAATTTCCTTCCTACTGCAGTACCGGCATCCCCAGGAAAAGCTGAAGCTACTGATGGACCAAAAGGAGCAGCATCAGGTAAAGTTGCCCCTGTCTAAAGATTGGTGCTGGGTTTAGGCCCTTCATGAGCAAGCTGTAATGGTGGAAAAAGTCATGGGATTGCCTCTTCTGAAGGAAACACAGCAAGGTATTAACAAATTCCATTGTGGCTAAAGGTTTATGATACCTGAATTGTGTTGTTGAGAAATGGAAAATCTACTCAACTTTTCAACTCTTGTGTCACCGTCCAGTAACTGATTTAATGATTCTTTACTTTCTCAAAATATTAGCTCCAGACAAATGTTAAGGTGTGTCAAGAACGTGGTTATACCACTAGTCCTGATGCTATACATAAATACCTTGAAAACTCTCCATTTTAAAGACTCTTTAAAACAGAGTTTTTAAGGTATTTATATACAGCATCAGACGCATGGTACATTTTGCAGTGGTCTTTGTCCGGTTTCTTTATGCTTTATTCCATTTATTTATTTCCATGATTTACCAGGGAGCATCCATACTACTTTTAATATCTGTTTCTTTACTGTCTTTTTCTTCTGTGAAATCACAATCTTTAAATTTTATTTTGGAGAGGATCATGATATCACTTCAAAAAAAAAAAAAAAAGGCAAAACCAAATGAAAGCTAGTGCATAATGGATTTTTTTGGTTTGGTTCACTAGAATATTGGTTTTATCTAAATGGGTCCTGAAGTGCTATTTTAAAAGGGACTTTTTCCATTTTTCTAATTTCTTTCCTTTTTCAGTTTAAGTGTCTGATTTAAGATTTAATATATTTTCCATTGTTTGGGGAGGATATTTTTAGATGTGACTCAAACAATCAGTAGAGATTTTATTTCCCAGCGATGTATGTGAGATGTTCAGGTCACTGTGCTGCATTACACAGAGTATGGGTAGTGCTTGGGGCTGTTGAAATTAATAGCTGCAGAAGAGATCTAGTGCTTCTGGCTTTTGATAATTTGTAAAAACTTGCCTCTAGACAGCCAAAATGTTAAACTAAAACTGACTGAAAAAACTCCTTTAAGGGGATCTTATGAAAATGCTAACTTAAATTCAGAGGTTTGATGGTACTGTGAACTGACAAATATTATTTTGAAACTAACAGCTCAGTGTTTAGTAGATATTATGTAAAAAATGAATGAGGCCAAGTTGTGCATGAAAGAATAAAGGGCAGCTGGTGATTCACTGGATGGCAGTGTCTTTTGTGTCAAGAGTGCCAATGCTTCTGCTCAAGTTGCAGCACCATACCACCCGTGAACAGCATAAACAATATTTAAAATTAAGTGCGTATGGCTCTGGAATGTTTCAGGACTTTTTCCGCTGTTGGAATACACAGCTGGGCTCTTAAAGGTGACACCAAAAGTTTCTGTGTCCTGCTAATATAGGAAAAAACCCTCATTGTGATTCCTGTATATATTCTGTTGGAATGTGTTGCTCGCAGTGGATCCAGCAGCTCTGGTCTCTTGCCAGCTACGTAGCATCAGGTAGCTTTCAAATGAAAACAATGCATCTTTCGGCTGATGTATATTAGGAGCAGACAGATGTCTAACACTGTAGTCAAGGATACAAAACAAGGCACATAAGGCTGTAGTACAAAAAGCACTTGGGTGCATTGAGGAGTGTCATAAAGACTAGTACAACTTGAGTGCACTGGCGTAAGGGAGGGGACTAAGTGACGCTGAAAGACAAGAAGGAGGACAGGGAGCAAAAGCCCTGTCTTCTCTATTCATAAAACCACACTGTCAGGTATTTACATTCTGTATTTTTTTGTTGATTTCTGTGATCTGTATTTCTGTAGCAGATGCAGTGTGTGTTCCTGCCTCGGATGTCATGTTCGTTTCTGCAGAAAAAGCTGGGTCCTTTCTTGCAGGAGACACCAAGCCTCCTCAAGCTCTGGATGCTGGATTTGCACCTCCAGCAGAAGCCAGCCCTCTTCAGGCTATGGATGTTGGATTAGCTCCTGCACCAGAAGCCAAGCCTCCTAATGCTGTCAATGATGCATCTGCCTCAGTGGCAGATACTGGCTTCACCCCAGCAACAGGTGCTACGTCCCATTATGCTACAGATCTGGAGTTTGCCCCAGCAGAAGATGCAGGGTTTGCCCCAGCAGCACATGCAGAATCTCACTATGCTATGGATTTGGCATTTGCCCCCGCAACAGATGTGGAATCTCACCATGCTATGGATTTGGCATTTGCCCCAGCAGCAGATACTAAATCTCATCATGCTATGGATTCTGAGTTTGCACCAGCAGCAGATGCAGAGTTTGCCCCTGCAGCAGAAGTCAACCATCATCATGCTATGGATTCTGGGTTTGCTCCTGTACCAGAAGCTAAGCCTCTTCCTGCCATGGATTCTGGGTTTGCCTCTGCAGAAGCTAAGTCTGTCTCTGTAGCTGACACCAAGGTTGCTGCATCTGAAGAGCTGATGACATCTGAGTCTTCTCTTGAGCAAGACAAGTCACCCATCAACAAGCCTCCTGCAGGTGAGTGTGTATGCCTGAAAGCTTCGTTCAGGCTTGAAATAGAGCAAGTGGTGTGGGAAGGCCCCTCTAAGTTGGCATAGCGCTAGCAGCAACACTCCTAGTAGTGCGTAGTGATGGCCGCACAGATGCACAACTGTCGTAAGACTGTCAAATAAAAAGCATGGTTTTTTAGTAGTTAAGATTATGATATGCCTTGCATAAAACATCTTAAGTAGAGCTCAGATCTGCTGTCAAGATACAGACAGAGGAAGTGCTTCATGAGGATTTTTCGCTTATAAAATGTAAAACTAGAATATGTGAATGATTTTTTTTTTTTTTTTTTTACTTGGCATTCTTAGCAGTGATGTATGTTGTTTAGGACAGCCATAGAGACATTTTCATTCATCCCTGTATATTTACTTTGGTATCACTATCATCTTCAGCATATGTGAAATCCCTGCAGATCCTGTAGGACATGGTGTTTTTGAACAAAGCTTCTTATTTTGAAAATAGTTTCTGAATAGACTGATAGGGTTTGTTGGTAATTTGGTGACTTTTCTTTGGAATGACTATTGGTGTTGAAATGGCGAGGCAGGCATTTTGTTTTTTTCCGCGTGGTGGACAATGGATTTTCTGCACTGCATAGATTTCTCAAAGGACACTGTCCTTTCAGAGAGAAAACAACAGTCAAAATACAACAAATAGTACTGGGCAGAGGCAGTATATGTGAATTGATTGCAGAAAGAGTTGGAGTGAGATCTTCTCTTTCTTATTTTCTAATGCTCTTTAGTTTAATGATAGAAATAAATTTCAAAAGAGAGAAGTTTTAATGAAAAAATCCCTACTAGAATGTAGTAACTGAGGCATAGGTGCATGAATGAAAGAGTAAATACCAGACAATACAGGAAGATTTGCTTTAGCAGAACACTTAGGCTTTTGGGAGGGGAGACCTGGTAGAAAATGATCTTAAAAAGCAGATTACCACTGTTTTGAAAGTGAGGAAGACCTTTAGTTTCTTGTGGAAGATAAGAAATAGGTGAGGAAGTGATTTTTATCTTGCTTAATCTGATCTAAATTAAAAATAATACGAATTTTTATTCTTTACATTCTGTTTTCAGAAGCAATTGCAAATGTGGAACAAGAATCGAAAGTCTCGGAAGGTTGTGTTGATCTTTTAGAGAAAGCTAAAGACAGCAGAGCACCTCCCAGCCACCATGAAGAGCATCTTCCAGGACAGACAAACCATCTTTCAGAACCAGCAGGTGAGAAGTGCAAACCACAGTATAAAACCAGAGCCAGCACTTTGTTATCAGCTAATTCTGCCCCACCACCTAAGTTCTTTCTCACAGACACTGTTCTCCTGTCCTTACCAAGGAAAAAGCAACAAAAGTTTAGTTTCAAGAAGGTGTGCTAACATGGGGACTGTTACAAATAGATGGTAGTCTTAACATTTGAAATTACCATCGTATAACTTGTCTTTTCCACATCCATAGTTGTTGTACCAACATCTGTCATAATTTTTATTTCTATTTAAAATTTAAATAAAATTAATTACATATAGAACTGTTCTCCAATGTAATTATGTCTTACAAATTAAAACTTGTTATAATTATGTGTAGCTAGGAATTTTGTATTGTCTGCATGAATATATTCTAAGGTATATATGAATACTAGATGATTAGCATTAGATAGGGACTCCAGACTGATAATGGAGTATATTCTGGATTTGAATTCTAGTGGGAAGCTAGTATAGTCTGAATTCAGTTGATTACAAAACGGGGGGAAACAGCAAACAAACCAACCCTCACCATCTGCTTAAGCCCCAAGACAGTCTTTGCTTCATGTTTTATCTCCACCTTGGCATGTCTGCCAAAATATAAAATTGCTGCTTAAAATGGGATTGTGAGGAGATAATATATAGTAAACTACCATATCTTATAAACTTCATTCCTATTAAAAACAAAATAAAACCTATACCCTTTCCAAGGGCTTGCTTTTAAACTGCAGGTTGCCTGTATTCATAAGAACTGAAGCATTCTGTTCATATTTTTCATATTTCAGTTCCAGTAGAAGCAAAAGAAGCTGTTGCACTAGAAAATAAAGACCTCCTTCCAGAAAAATCTGTTACTACTGTGGATGTTACTGTTACAGAGAAACAAAAGGGGGAGGCTGAACACAACCATGTCCAACATGCAGAACCTCAGCAAGAAAAAACCCTGCAAGAGCCCACAGGTAGAATATAAATAATAATTCAATTTTAGAATGGAAATATCCTCTGTGAACTATTCACCTCTTCCTACTGACTGTGTTGCCACTTGAGCAAGCAGAAATCTTTTTTGCACCAAGCAGCCGTGCGGTTCTTTGCATTCCTCGGTGATTCTGCTTTGCCTCTAATCCCTGCCCTCTTAAATACTCTTTTCCCCTCCATGTTCACCAGACTAAAAGCCCAAATATGGGTGCTACTAGTACTTTATCACTGGGACTGGCTTATATCTTTTCTGCTGTAGAATTTAAAAGCTCACCATCTTTTTGCCATTACTGCTAGCTTTTGTTTTGGTATTAAATAGGACCATTAATTCTTATTACAATATTCCTAGTGAAGACCTCCTTCCAAATTGAGTTTTGTAATTACCAAAGGAAAATGCAATTTTTTTTTTTTTCCTGCTCCACTAACCCAGCCTCTCCAGTGAGCTGTTATTGCTTACACTTGTGACTGGAGGCTGATTTGTGGGCCAGGGCTATCTGACAAATGACTGATGCTCTCTTTAAAATCAGTGGCTTGTAGCTAAGGAAACCTAGCGCTGCCTATAACGGAGTACAGCAAATGACTTCTGTTACGCAGGTTCTGCCTTCCACTGCTTCCACCGTGGGTGCTGTGGGAAACTTAGCTTTTTTGCTCCCCCTTCCTCATTATGCCCCTTCTCTCTTCCCTAGTCTCATCTTTCCACTAAGCTTCTGTTGTCACATTTTGGAAGGATGCCAGCTAGAGATATAAAAAGTGTATCTGTTATCTCGTCTTGCTAAGACGAAATAGATGCTTAATGCATTTTTAAAAAGCTATAGCATGTCCCTACAAGAACTGTTGCTTTTTGGTGGGGTAAGAACATGTATCAGGAATTATGTATTTTTAAATAGCATTGACGTATTTATCGGTAGTAGCTTAAATAGGTTTTGCGTGTAAATGTCTATCCCAGCCCTTACTGAGGTGGCTTTAGAATTAGTGTGGTATCAGTGCTGGAAAATTCTGCATATGTGACTGTATGGGCTGTTTTAGATGGCTAAAATCACATATATAGTATTTTTTTTTTTTTATAAAGCAAATAGTTGCTTTGATGTTTGAGCAGGCTTCCTGTATTCCAGGTCTACCTACTGCACAAATAAGGCAAGCTAACAAATCAAGTGAACGCAGGTTTGGCAGAGCAAAACCTGCACCAGTGCCTATTACAGATGTACCAGAGGAACGTCTAATAGGTCTCCCACAACAGAAGAGTACTGACCCAAAAGTAGACCCCTATTCTGTAGTGGAACTTGGATGTATTGCTGGAACATCCCCTCACACTAGGGCTTCACATAAAAAGGCAACTGAGCAGCCATCCAGTGTGCTGTCGGAGTTTGTGGAGAGCTGCAGAGATGTACCAAGGGAGAGCTGGGATTTGGAAGGTTCTCTGGCCATTGTGAAGAAAAAGAAAAAGAAACCAAAACAAAAGAGAAACCAGCTGCCAAGAACAATGGAGTTCTGGGATGAAAATGTAACAGTCTCAAAAGCTCCTAGAAATTCTCCATTTGCTGTTGAATTGCAAAAACCAGATGTCTGTCCTGTAGTGCCTGCTGAAGCTCGCAAAGAGCAGTCAGGAAGCAGAGTTTCAGATATGCCAAAGAATGTTAAAATGATACCTGGAGGTCATATCCTGGATGAGCAAAATGCCTTCTCAGTGCCAGCACCGGGACAGCAGGTCCAAAAACCCAGCGTGCCATTAGAATCTGCGTTGGATGCAAAAAATGGGGACGTCATGAAACCAGAAGAAGTGAGAGACGACAGTTTGATGTTGCAATGTAAAGGCAAAAGAAAAGAGGTTCCCTTGCAGCAGGTAGGCGAGACTAAGGTGGGGGAATCTGTTACAGCAAAGGTGCCAACCAAGCCTATCGAAAGAGATTTTCTTCATAAAAATGAAAAGAGGGAGTACAAGGAGTCAAAATGTGCTGACCTGACGCCATCTCTTTCAGAAGCAATCAATCTAAGCAAAGTAGAAAATCCGTTAGAGACCAAACCTTCAGAATTGCTCCTTTCTGATAAAGATAAGGAGGCTAAATGCACATCTCCCAGGCTTGAAGCATTCAGTGACACTGTCCACCGTGAGCTTCAGACTTCCAGTGGGTCACTGGAAGAAGCAGCAAAGAAAAGAGGTAGTTGTGAAAAAAGCAAAGGGGTTGAAAAGGAATCCCTCAAACAGCCTGCTCTTCTAGAGGCTACAGCCCCGTCGGACAAGCTTCCTAAGGAGCCAAAGGCAGCTGATGAAACTAAAACCGTATCCTCTGATAAGTGCATGGCCATTGACTTTAGTACTGCAGAGGGAGTATTGAGGACTCCAACAGATACTACTAAAACGCCTGTTACACCATTAGTTTTACCAAACCCTGAGGAAGTTACTGCTTTGCAAAACAGAAAGGCTGGCAGTTTTTCAGAGGAGCCGTTTCTTCTGTCGGCTAAGTCTGATGCAACCGCACCTCCCGTCTCTGCTGAAGCAGTGGACAGAGTGATGGTAGCAGATTCCCCTGATAAAAACAAAGGGAAAGGATTTATTGCATTAGAGCAGCAGACTGGAAAAGATCTCAATATCGCACGTGGGATGGACAGACCTAAAAAAAAGCGTGGTGAAGGGAAAGTAAAAAAAATCAAAAGCTTCTCTGAGCAGATGATGCTTTTGGAGGATGTAAGCAAACTTACTGAGGGAGTGAGGACAGATGAGACCACAAAAGAAACAACTTTCCCTGATAAAGGCAGAGGTTTTAGTGCAAGAGGACCTCCATCAGTAAGCATTACACATGCTTATCCTGCAGACAAGCAAAAAAAAAGAGGTAGTGACGGAAGAAGTAAAAAAGGTGAAAGAAGTTTTTTCCAGCAGCCTTTTCTTGAGAATAAGATGGACCCAAGTAGTTTTCCTGACATAACTGATAAAACTAAAAAAGTTAGTGATAAAGGCAGAGAGAGGGGCTGTTAAAGAAGTTAGTGTTAGTGATAAAGGCAGAGAGAGGGGCTGTATCACTGCTGAATGTTTTCAGGAGAATACATCAGATGTAACTAAAACGCAAAGGTCAATGGTAACAGAGAAGCCTAAAGAAAGCGCTGGAAAAAATGAAATAGCTGATTTGGGTGCTTTACACCAGCCATTCCCATTCCTGCCGGAGAGTAGGACAGAGGAAGCAAAGCATCTTGCTATGGCTGACACAATCAGCAAAACAAAAGAGGTAAATTTGATTAATAAAGGCAAAGAGGCTGGAATTACTTCTTCAGGTGAATCATTTGTGATAAATTCTGATGCAGCACTGGTGGCAGACAAACCTAGAAAGAGGTGTAGTGATGGGAAAAGAAAAAAACCTGAAAAAAGCTCTTTGGGGCAGGCAGCTGTCATCTTGCTATGGCTGACACAATCAGCAAAACAAAAGAGGTAAATTTGATTAATAAAGGCAAAGAGGCTGGAATTACTTCTTCAGGTGAATCATTTGTGATAAATTCTGATGCAGCACTGGTGGCAGACAAACCTAGAAAGAGGTGTAGTGATGGGAAAAGAAAAAAACCTGAAAAAAGCTCTTTGGGGCAGGCAGCTGTCCTGGATGCTGGGGTGGAAACAAGCAATCTTCCAAGCAAAGAGAAGGTGGCTGGAAGCACAAAAGAAATGACCTTTGATAAAGATAAGGTGTCTGGTTTTGAAAGAGAGCTTTTGCTGGAGAATCTGACAGGTATAACCAAAGAGATGCTGGAAAAGCCTGAAATACAAGGTGGGAATAGAAGAAATTTCTCTAATCAGCCAGTTCTTTCAGGTCATAAAATAGAGACAGCAGAGCCAGAAATAGTCAACACTAAAGAAACTTGGCCCATGAATAAAGGTAAGGAGCTAGATACATCTGAGCCTCTCCTGGCGTGCAGGACAGATGCAGCTGTGGCACACAGTCCCACTAGGGAACTGGTGATGGACAAGACTAAGGAAAAAAGTAGAGATGTGAAAGGCAAAAAGGCTGAAAATAGTCTTGAGCACTCTGTTGCACTAGGTGCAGGTAACATCCCTGCAGTAGGTGAAGAGGTGGGAAATACTAAACAAACTCAGTCTTTTGATGAAGGCAAAGAGACTAATTCCAGTACTTTAGCAAGTCTGCTAGGTGACCTCACTGATACTACTAAAGTACAAGCTCCTGCTATACCTCTGGAGCCAGAAAAATCACACACAAGTAATAAAGAGAAGTGCAAAAAGGTGGAGGCTAACTTTCAGCGGCCATGTCTTCTGGAGCATAAAGCAGGTGCAGAGATGTTTCCTCCTCATAACATGGAGATAACTGATAAATCTGAAGCAGAAAGTCCCACTCCTTGCAGCGTGGGGGCTGGACTTCCTATCCTAGAGCATCCAGCAGTGGCAGATCACACTTTGGCCACAGTTACTGATAGATCTAAAAAGAGGGGTTATGATGGAAGTAGTAAAAAGACTAAAAATGCCTCTGAGCAGCCTGTTTTTCTAGAGCCAAAACCAAACAGGAGACAAGTACAGCCTCCCATAGGATCTGAGATGGAATATGGAATGGAAGACATGGTAGATGAAAACAGAAATATTAAAAACTTTCCCATTGGCCCTCAAATGCTTAGGAATAATAAAGGAAGCGACTTTGAATCCTTTGCTCAGTCTACAGTAACTGGCCCTGGTAGCACTGGCAATGTTTCTTCTGGCTTCCCAAAGCAGACAGGTGAGGGTGCGAGAAGTAAGGGGCTTCCTCCTCCTGAAGCTCTAGCAGAGAACAGCAGCAAAGAGCCTGGATCTGGTGCAAAGAAGGAGATACAGACGCAGAAATCTTGCGAGCAACCGATCAATCTGGGACACAATGAGCCTGGAAAAGAGGTTTTGAAGAAAGATGGTAAAACCAAAGAGGCTGGTTCCCAGGATGGGAGTGAGGCAGGTAAACCGCTTTCTTCAGATCATTCAATTAAACAGGCCATTAAATCAAAAAAGGATGAAGTTCACCTTTCTCCTGCAGCAAAGGGGGATGATAAAGAAGTAAGAACCACTGATAAAAAGCACAACACTGATAGCACTTCCTCAGACCTTCCTCAGAAGGTGGCAGATTCAAAAAATAGACCAGCTCCTGTAGGTGCCAAAGGGACAGAGAAACTAGAAGCAACCATCTCTTCTGGAGAGGACACTGGGTGCGTTTCCCCAGAACTTGCAGCGATACCAGAGAGCAAAGCAGAAGCAGCCGTGTCGCAGGCTGTGGCAGAAGCATTGATGGAGAATAAAGCTGAAGAGGCTGAGTTGGCTGGAGGCAAGAAGAGTGAGCAGAGCAAGTATCCGGGCAGTTTGGACAATAAAACGGTTGAAGCAGAGGCTTCTGCCAACCTGACAGCTGCCCAAACAACCAAAATAAGTCCTAAAGATAACAATAAAGGTCATTCTCAGCCTGCAGAAGAGGATGCTGCTCACAGTGGGGAAGCTCACCTGAAGGATGCCCCGGCATTGAAGTCTGAAGTAGATAAACCTGAAGACGCAACTAAAAAAGAGGAGGAATGTGAACAAAAAGCTGTGAAGGAGGCAAAGAAAGAGAGAGTTAAAGCAGCAGAGCAGATAAAAGGCTACATGAGACCCACAAAGTCAAGAGGGGTGCCAACTCTGCCAGCCAGGTCTGCTGCTCCAGACCGAGAGAAACAAAAGCAGCTGAAACCCACTGGTATGAGCCGGCAGAGGCAAGAAAAAGGTGTGTGTTTGTGATTTGAGCTAGCAGCAGTAATCCAGACAGCTTGCGTGCAAGACCTTGCTATTTGTCAGTGCGTTGGCATGAATACATAATTGTTAATCCTATGTGGCACAAGCGAGTGTGGCATGACTGGTTTTTTGGCTGATCTTAAAAGGCTGTTAGTTCTGCTTGCCTGTCTCACAGTGCTAATTCGTAAAGTTTGAAGGATTGACAGCTTGGTCGAAGTTTGAGAACTCTTGGTTTGTTTTTTTTTTTTTTTTAATTCATTCAGTGTTAATTTTACATATGTATTGTAGAATATTTAAGTAAACTTGCACTTTTTGGTGTTAAGTTACATTAGCTTCTTGTCATCCGAGACTGAAAGTGACCTTCGTCTGCGGTGCAACAGTGAATCATCGTGATCACTCAATAGCACTGTATGCCGCTGGCAGGCAGGGAACAGAGTATTTCTGGTAGGAAGTGCTCTCGATCGCTGTCATGTTGCAGGGTTTGGTTTTAATCCTACCTCAGGCTAACTGCAACCATCTACTTTTCCTCCTGCAATTGGTGAATGACTTTGTCTTAAGCTACCTTGAACTGCTACATCTATAAAATGTACTTCCTTCTAGAATAATAATCTTTACTAAAGCAGAGTTGTAACAAAACAACGGTGGGACTGATATAGATTTTTAAGACTTTATGTCGCTGTTGAGACTATGGATGGACTGGCAAGTATTTCGGACTGTTTACCCTGGCTGTTGTCCCTGTACTCATAGGAAATGAGATGGAATTAATTTCATAGAATTTAATGAAGTTCATAGGAATTTTGAAATGGAGAATATAGTATGGATAGAGATGAAATAAAAAATATTCTTGTACTTCTGCTCATTCTAAACCTTCCTCAGAAGGAATTGGCATCTCCTCTGTGAATTCCAGTCTGCTGAAGTGGGCTGGGGAAGTTTATCCATGCCCTTAGGTGCTCTTAGTTTTTGCCTTGTCATCAGGCATGAAAGTTTGTTCCTGTTTCTATTTCTGCGGAGTTCCTTGCTGCCAGTTTGCATGATGCAGCCACTAACTTAACAAACATAGAGCTCAAGTGCGCCTTAACATGCTGGTCAGGTTTTTGAGAGGTTTTGTAATTTTAATGAGTGTTGCATAACCTGAAGTAGTTCTATTTTAGTGAAAGTGGTGTTCTCTGCATGAACTTGTGCCTGCAGAAGTAATGTTCTTTGGTGCATGATGCTACAAAATAAAGGGGAAAGCTAAAGGCAGCATCTTTTTAAAAATAATTCCTTGAAGCCTTTCCATTGTCTGCTAGAAGTCTTTATTTTCCTTTGCTAACTGCTGTATTCAAGGGAGCAGAATTGTAGTAGCAGATCCACGCAAAAAAGAAAAGCTTCTCCTGAATGTTTTGCACAAGTAAAGCGTGTACGGAGTTGAAGGATTCCTGGTTCAGAGTAGCACATAAGCGTGTGAGTAAGTTGATACATACTTTGCATCTATAAGTTGGCCTGACCTAAGTTTGCACAGGACTTTAATAATACGCGGTTGCTTTCATCCTTTCAGCACTTCATAGACATGGTTGTTTTCTTAAGAGAAGCTCTGAAGGACTGAGCTTGTTTTGGAAATGTTGGTTGACATGTTCCTACGGCAGTTTAAATCCAAACGCTGTCAGGCGCAGGGCTGCCGCGGAGCGCTGCAGCAGACCTGGCCCCTGGAGTAGCTTCGGGCAGTCTCACGGTGACCGCGCAACATCTGGGCTGAGTGACAAAGCGTAAGTTGCAGTGGAGGAGCAGGGAGGCAGATTTGCTTTGCCATCCAGATACGTTACCAAGGCTTGTCTCTCTTCCCATCCACTGCCCAACTCATAACGAAGTAGCTGGTTCCATGAGTTGCAAAATGCCAGCAAAATCTGGACTGAATCCCTATGTCGGCACAACTGGTGTGGAAGTGTCTCAGGCTGGGTCCGAGGATGAAACAATGAATTAATGCATCAGTTGAACACAAATTAAAACCAGAAATCAATGAAGGGAAGGTGTTGAGATTTTAAGACCGTGAACATGAGTGTGCTTTTTTATTGGACAGAGAAGGAGCTAAAGGGACCCAGGAGATAATTATAATGATTGTAGTCCAGATTTCACTAAGTTGATGGGGCCATGAACTGTACGGACCTTGTACATGCCAGTTTATCCTCCTGTTAAGGTAGCAATTGACTGCTCAAAGGTTTTATATTTTTACCTATCACCAGAACTTGCAAACACTTCGTCTGTGTTTGTCAGGCACGACTGTGAAGCTTACACTTTGCAACATCTAATATCCGCCCATATAAACTATTTTTCTTGGTAGTGGGCAGTCGGTGATCTACTATCAGAATAATGCATGTAGATATTTTGGAGGATCTTCTGCTGAAGTTTAGTAACTGAAATCTCTTTAGCCGAGCTCCTGTCTCTTACACTATGTGTGTTCTGGAATAACAGGACGGCTTTCCTAAATGCATCAGCTCCTGTATGTACTGCTAAAATAGGTACCAGCTTTGTGATACAGCTCCCTTGGGAGTCATGGCAACTGTGATGCTGCAGATTTCTCTCGCTGACTGAAGTTGTATGTATCTTTTATAAACTAGGCCTGCAAACTTCTGTAATTTTTTTTCCTAATTTTGACTTTGCAGCTTAAAGTTAAGAAATGTTGGATGTAAGGCTGTTCATGCAATTTGAATTTAATCCCTTATCCATCTCTTGGATTTATTTCAGCTTCTCACTGTTGTTGTCATTGTAAGAACTGCCCCAGATTCTTCTGGAAAACTATTTTATGCCTTTTAATGTCAGGAGGCAGCTGAGATGATAACCAAAACATGTCAGACATTATCAGCCCTTAAAATGTCACTGAGCCTTTATGCTACCTCTTGTGTGGAATTAAAACTGAAATTGGGAATTACGTATAAAAAGCAGGGTCCTAAAAACTGTATGTCCAAGCAGGTGCCCTTGCTGATGCAGGGCTGGAGGTCTGATGTTGAGGAATGGTTAAAAGAGGAAATGATGGAAGACTTTCATTCATCCAGTGTTGAGACATTTGATCCAGATTTACTGGTAGCATCCCCCTTCCCTCTACTCCTTAAGCTGTATTTCAACACTGAGATTTTGAAAAAATTTTTTTCCCCTCCAATCTGTCCTTAAAGAACACTCTATTTAAAAAAAAAAAATTAATTAATTTGTTTCAATGTTTTGGGTTTTGTGTCGTCTTTTGGTTTTTGATTTGCGTAAGCTCTTCAGGAAGGGGCCATCTTCACGTATGTCTATTATAGTGATGCTCCAGTACTTAATGCTGTGGGCTTCGGTGCTGGCAGGGTAAAGAGCTTACTGCATAACCGCATTGTGGCCTAGACAGTTATGCTTCTGAGTTATTCTCCCAAACACGGATTGGAGGGGCCTGTTGAAGTGGTCATCTGAGGCTTAGTTTCCCTCTTTCCTCAAAAGCTTCCATCGCAATCTCTGTCGCTGCCTTCTGTGGGCATCCTTCCAGCGCCCGTCCTTTCAGCTGAGCTGATGACAAGCTGTCTTTGCAGCCCATTGGCACAATCGCCGTGTGTAATACAGTACATATTTCTCAATATGACAGCTCTAAATCCCTTGTGTGTAAATAAGAGATATTTAAAAGCAAGAAATGCCATCCCTGCTTAATTACAGTATTTGCTTTTCTTCTACAGCTGCAATGAAGCCCTTTCTCTAAATATTTTCTTTTCCTGACTGGTTTCCATTATACTGTTGTCATTATAATGTTAAGTCGGTTTAGCATTTCCAGAGTAACCTTTCATTCATACAATGTCTGTAATTCCCCTGTGGGACCCCAAACTGTAATTGGGTTTGTCTAATATGAGCTAATCAGCTACGTGAACGCGATGGGCCAGTGACTGTATGGATGTGTAACTCACTGCGTCCATCTTACCTGAAATCATCATCACAAATGCAGTCATGGGCAAGTACCTCATAATAACAGTGGTACTTCAATAATGCTTTTGAAATGGTCAGAATGACATCATATTGCAGCCTGTTCATTAATTAAGGCCTGTTAATTATCCCAGGTAGGTGTATAAGAGAAATGAAAACCAAACAATGGCACCAACCAGTTACCACATCGGTACTGAACGTATTTATGAAGCAGCAAGAGAACTTTGCTATTATCTGCTTTTCCCCTAAATTTTTGCACTTCTGTGTGTTTGTATTTGATTCTGCTTTAACAGGAAGTTTTGTTGAGGTATCGGTTCTATCCATAATTAAAAGGTGAGTTGAGCTTAGAGGACATCTTTGCAGATCTGTAGCTTGCAGATACGGGATGTTTAAAAGCCTATTTGTCTTCTGCTGAATCGACGCATAGGTCTGAACATGTTATTTTAAGAATTGCTCAAAACAGTTGTAACTGACTGCATGTGCCTGATATTTTTTTTTTCCTAGTTGGTTTTGTACTGTGTGTTATATTGATACTGGCTTTTTCTCTAGCTGGATGGTCTCATGCAGCAACTCTCATTCTAAGCTGGCAGCACATAGTCTTTGGCTAGGGCTTCCTACGTTTTGTTTTCTTCCTGTATTTTATGTTCCTGCTCATCCTTGACACTCTTGATTTTCAAGAAAAACTGGGAATGAAACAAATATATTTCTGTTTGTAAATTCTGCCAGATTAAGAACTTTGAAGACGCTTCCTTAGTGATGTTGTTCAACTTCCAGGGGATATCTGAATTTCAAGCCTTTTATTTCCTTGCTGATGTTGCTAGTTCATTGTGTATCATTCAGTTGACTTAGCTTTCCCATCTTTCCTTGCTGATGTTGCTAGTTCATTGTTTGTGTATCATTCAGTTGACTTAGCTTTCCCTCTTTTCCGTTTCCGCTAGCAAATACTCCTACAATAACGAACTACTGGTGATATTTTTAGGTGGAAACACTCTTGAGTGCTTTTTAATTCTGGTTTTGGCTGAGGATCACTAGGATTTTTAATGTATTATATGTAAATTCTAAAGTAAGTGGGATTTGATCTGTGAATGTTCTCTCCTATAAAACATGAGGCTGTGTTTGAGTATTGTACGGCTTCGCTTTTAAATGTTAAGCTTGTAGTTCAAAGTTACGATGGCCAGAATACTTAAATATTCTGGTTCACCTTTTTATTCTTTAGACTGGCTTCTTCCAGACTGCAGGAAGAAATGAAGCGTGTGAGTTCAGCGGGTAGTGTCAGACTTCAGGCTTCGTGTGTTGCTGCTTGTTTTACACGCAGTGAGTGTGTGGCTGAGCAGCACAACACCTGTGTGTGTATGAACATACAAACGAGCAAGTGTTTAAATTGCAGGTTTACGGTCTTGGCTTTTATAGACAGAGCATATCCTTGATGGTTCTGGTCAGTCTGATCACTGACTGTTATGGGTAATAACACTTAATTAGAGATCACATTAGTTGGAGGTGCTGGCAAGGAGTAGCTCATCATCCTGGAAAGTGATGTTGCCTTAGAAACCGGTGCAAAGGATTGCACAGAAATGATTGTATTAGATTAAAAAAAAACCAAAAACAAACCCCAAAAAGCAAACACAAAACAAAACAAAACAAAAACAAACAGCAAAGGCATTAGAAGGGATAAGTAATAGCTTTGGGAGTGAAGCAAAAATAGAAACACTAGGCTGATTCATCTGCTGAGGCTGGAAGCTTGCAGATTGGGTATTAAGTCGTGACGTGTTGATGTAGTGATCTTCGTCTGCTCGGGCTATTGGCACTGTCTCAGCCTGGGCAGCTGTGTTTTACCCGGTAAAGCCCAGTGAAGTGGACAGGGGTTCTTTGCAGTTTCTTCAGCACATGGGTATGTTTTCCCTTGGAAGAGTGCTCATGTTCAGAGATACAATATAAGCTTCGAAATATATCTAAGCAGCTCAGATAAATGACTACAGTTGTGTTTAATGTTTGTACTGAAAGATGTGCTGTATGTGCTCAGCTTCCCTGACAGGCTTATTTGTGTCAACTGTACCTGCAAGAAAAGACAGGATTTAATGATGGTAAGAGGATGTGAACGGGCAAAATAGAACCTTCGTCCTTGTGAAACAGGCTGCTGCCTCACCACTGAAAGGTTGAGAGAAGCTCCAGGCAGTGAGCGAATCTCTGCATCCAGAAGCTGGACCAGGGTCTGACTTGCAAGAGCTTGTAGCTATTTCACTGCCATTATCTGACACATTCTTGAAAAGAAGGATGGTGGAGAGCCAAAAGGATTGTGAAACCCCAAATTTGATACTTGAAGAGTATGAAATCTTCCTCAACGTTGAACTAAAAGTAAAAGCAGTGGATGGGCTTCCTTTCAGGAAGTCTCTAACCCTTCTAACCCAACTCCTCTTTGGCATGCGCCCTTTCTCATTTGAGTTGTTTTTCAAAATCTGTCCAAGCCCTCTTGTTTTCTGAACATCCTCCCACCCTTTCCTGCATATCTTTCATTGACTAGTACTGCTGCTCTTGTAATTCTGTAGAAAGTTTAAGCTTTGTCAGAATCTAAAGGAAGAACTGGGACCAAAGCTCTGGTGTCAGGACTGCTGGTTGTGTGTTGTGAGTGTTGGTGATCTCTGGTCTTGCTGAAAGCTTAGCACAACAGCCATGGTGAAGCTTCAGAAACAGAATATTAATAAATTTAAAGGAAAAAAATGCATTTGGTAAAGGTAGAGGCTAGGGCACTGGAACTGAGAGTGGGTATCTGGAAACAACATGCTATAGGCAGGATGAAGCTGTTGAAAAGCTCTCAGACTATGAACTCTATATTACCTCCATTAATGTCCTGAGAGATTAAATATTAGATGACTTTTCATAGCTAAGCATTCTCCTGCTTCTGAGTATCGCAGGTATTGAATATGGTTCATTTCCTACATTAAAAAAAAATTATTAAATAAAGTAGCAATGGTGGTTGTTACTGGCTGTATATTGACATTGAGTCAGGCTTTTCTTTCCAGTGATGCAAATCTCTTCTGTGATACTGGGCTCTGAAGTACCAGCCCCTAAATCAATGTGGGTTTTCTCCTCTGTCTGTTAAAAGTGATAGCTGTTTGCTTTAAAAAAAAAAAAAAAAAAAAAAAAAGAAAAGAAAACCCACACAGTAATTACATGGGGTTAGATGACTTCAAGGTCTGCCACTTCGGGGAGCAGACTAAATACTTTTAGAGTGAGCAAGTGCTTGCAAACATTAGTTTTGTCACATCGGTTACGAGAGAGAATGCAAGCCTTGAGCTAAGGTCCCATTTTCCACTAGCAAAACACCTATGAATATTTTAAAGTACAGAAAAATTGTTGAGGCCTTTTGAGAAGTGAAGCTTGTGGGTGGAACTATTCTGGTTAATTAGAGGGTGTCATGAAAGATTCATATAACTTACAGTTCCTTAGTCATTGTTTTTAAATATAGCAGTGTCTTAAATCCAAAGCTTAAATACAAGTAGATAAATGTGTGGATTGTAACATTTCTCAGCAGCAGGTTAAATTCAGGGGGCGTAGTATAACTTGCAGTCTCTGGGTGTAAAAATACATTTATGCTCAGTTAAACTATAGCAGGGAGTCCTTTTACTGCATCAGCTATAAGGACAAAATTTTCTCCTGCACTGGAGTGTATTGATGTCTATAATGGTCACTGTCTGTAAAGTGGTGTAACCTTGGTTCAGAGAAGAATATTTGCCTTAGTAAAGGATTAATCTGTACCAGGCACTTAAGGAAAAAAGACAGCTCTGCAGTTTGGTGCTAATGCAATGGTAGCAATCCAGATACCAGTGGCTGAGTGGCTAGAAGCAATCTTCAGCACTCTTGGGTCAGCTCCCAGTTTAGCTAGGGAACAGTGTCCAAATCAAGAATTGCAGTTAGAAAAGCCTTGTTAAGGATGCTGGATATAGAGGCTTTGCAGGATGGCCGAGCAGTGCACTTATACGTGTTGAGACTGGTTTTGAATAGATCGACAGAAAATGTGAAATGCTAGGTGTAAATTAAGTGCAATAGAAAAAATGCAGCTCAAAAATATTGTAAGATATGTTCACGTTTAAAAAAGATTAAAAATCAAGTTTACAGTATTTAAGACTACAAAACGTCTCCACCTCTCCTAACCTGTCCCATTTCATCCTTTTCAGCTTTGTCCATTTGCTTGTATGAGCGATATGGTTTGTGGATTGTGAAATCCTCATTACAGCAACACTTGTGATCGCTGTTGACTCCAAAAGAATATATTAAAATTCACTGAAAACAAAGCCCTTGTGCTGAAAGAGGTCATTCTGTGCTGTGGTGTTTGGGGTTGGGCTTGTTTTGGGGGTTTTGTTTTTGTTAAAGGGGCGGAAAATTGCTGACCTTGGTTCCTAAGTATTCTTAAAAGTGGTTCATCAGCAGGA